TAAGGATGAAATAACGACACTACATAGAGTCAACATCGGATAGAATTTCACTAAGTTTACAAGCTTGTTTCCTCGCTTTTTTGTGGTACCATCAAAAGGATCAGTAATGCAGAAGACATTCATGAAAACATTAAGATTGTACTACTCTAAAATCTCATGACCCACTTTATCTGTTGTTTCAGATAAGGAGTTGTAGCTCTACCAATCAAGCAGCACAGATGGGTCCCACATATACTGCAACTCTTAGTTGGAAGTGCTTAGTTGCTCAGCTCTTCCTTACACTTCACTAGCCTCCATCTTCTTCCACATGCTATAGTCAGGTCCTCTTTACCTTACTCTGCTTACCCAATCCTCACTCCCCTCCACCCTCCACCTCTTCTTTTGATAAAGTCCTCGACTCCTTTGAGACACTCACCCATCTGCCAGTCACAAAATCTCAACAATCAAGTGCCAATTCACAGAATTTGAACTCACATAGATGTGATGACACTTGACTACCAGCAGGTGTCACACATCAACATACAGACCCTTATAAATAAAAGACCGATTCAGCCGGTACTCCTATACATAAAGACAGAAAGGAGAATCAAACATTAGCCTCAGTGGGTGCTGTATTAACAGCAATGAGAGACTCTTCCAGGTCAAAGCTCATCTTCCACTATCACATCAAGCAAGACAAAAATCACTATCCTCCTGTATATTTTCTATCCAAGCAAGTTAATCATGATTACCTCATTATTATTTCACAAAAAGATGCAGCTGTTAAAAAACTACACACATGCCACCAGTTTCAACTGGAACAAAACATAATTTAGTCCACCCATCCACTGCACATCCATGCACAGAGAGTCATAGGGGGTTTATATTGAATAAGAAGCAGTCCCAGGGCTAACAAACACTGACAGCAGGAAGAGGCAGATTCGTGGATCCAACTCCACACAGAACCAGCTACATCCAACCAGAAAGCTTCTTGTATGAGGAAACAGAGCTACCCATGACACACAAAGTTAACCCCAAAATAAATACAATCAGTAATACTCATTGTTAGTAATAACAAAAAACAAACAACTGAGTGTTATCCTCAGCCTCCTGGTAGTTTCACCAATTTCATCAATCTGAAAACCCTACTTTACCTCCTTCTGGAGTTATCACATTCAAAAGCTCTTCAGAGGAAACTTGACCTGAACTTTTCCAAGAGTTTTAATAGATGCACCTCTAAGTTATGAATTTCAAAATCCAAAATCTACTTGCATTCACAAACTTGGCTGTCCATGTTGTCTGCCCACCCGGCAGGGTTACAGCAATGTCCCATCAGCCTTTTACAGGTTAGGGA